ACTCGCCGATGAAGAAGGTACCGTCGGGGTTGGAGCGGCGCGGGGAGGCGAGGGCTGGGTATGGTGCGTGGTTAGTTGGGTAATAAGTTAGGTTGGGCGTGAGGGGGGCAATGGGACATACCGAAGAACATAGTCAGCATGCTGAACAGGAAGAGGCTGGCGGCCCGGTCTTTGTCGATCCTGTCCTCCGCCGCCATGACGCGCATCGCTGAGCGGGAGGCTTTTTGATGCAGAAGGATTCCCGCCTCGACGTAGAAATCGCGGCGGTCTGGCTGGTGGTAAGCCAGGTGCAGAGCGCTGACGGCCAAAACGGCGCGCATGATGTAGTCACAGGTCAAGCCCAACTGGACGACGTCGTCGCGCCAAAACTCCCACACGCTGGGATCGGCAGTGAGGGTCGTGTATGTCTTGGTGGTGAAATTATGGAGCAGTTCCAGCTCGAGAAGCGGTAGTTCACCACCTTCTGGGAGACTCATGGCCGGATTTGGGCGGGACGTTGAAGTGCTAGCGGACGGGACGGCCCGGACGGGGGAGTGAGGTTTGGGTTTGGAGGCCCGGGCACGAGTGTTATTGCCGGTGCCCGGTTTGAGAAAGGGGCATTCTACGCCATGAGATATACAGTTGAGACATGCTGGGTGTCTCTCGTCACACTAGGGGGGTTTAGCTATGGGAGCAAAGGGGGTAGTAGTAAAATGCAACAAATGTAAATGTAAGCTGAAGCGCACCTTAATCTTTCTGGATTTGCAAGTTGAGCAGCCCGTGCGGCTCTTCTTATGCGCCCGACGGCCAACAGTGGCGTACCCCAGGGGTTGCTGTAGGGAAGGTTTTGGGGCTTCCTCGAGAGATGTGGGGGGTGTGGTAGTCTCGGTGCCCTGCTGGACGGAAGAAGCCGAGACCGGTGAGTCGGATGGCGGCACGAGGTCCGACATGATGGGATGGGGGATCGGCTCCCGGCTTCAAGACCCTGGCCCAGGTGATTGGCTGGAAATACCCGGCGTCAAGTTGGAGCTCGTGACGGGCCGGAGCGTGGATGCAGCCGTGATGGACGATTGCGGCCCAAGCAAGGCCCAGGTGTGGGTGTGGTGTGGACTGCCACGCGGTTAGCCTTGGACGAGAATATCCTTGGTCCGCCATGTCTGCAATATCGGGCCAATGGCAGGACAGATTAGGTGTGCCCCAACCACGAGGAGTGCGGCAGTTCATCCAGAAACAGTATTATCCAAGGGTCTCAGGAGAGGACCGCCGGGGACTGACTAGCCCACAAATCGGCACACTCGCACAGACATCCCCCAGGTTCTCGGGATAAGAACAGATGGCAGAGCACTGATGCTGACGTGCGGAGAGGGTGGCTTGGGCCAGGTAGGAGGAATGCACGTACATGTACGTACATACATCAGATAAAATACGGTACATACACAGTACAGGGTTGCAGGTGGTCGGGTTTCAGGTTCTACCCAGTCGGCGTGGTTCCCAGGTCGGTTTCGGGGAGCGCCACTTCAGATGGAGGCCAGTTTCGGCTCGTCTGATGGACAGAAAGCGGGAAGGAAACGCGGGTGGCGGGTGGCAGGTCGGCGGGAGGGTGACTCGACAATCTGCGATCTGGCAGGCGACGGGGATGATGGTTGGACAATCAAAAGATCGGCAAATCCCTGCATGCCATGCTGCAACTGAATTGCCTTGCACCTGACCACCAAACCGGGTTCGTAGTCGCTATGTGCGTTCCTCGATGTGCTCGAGATTGGTTCACCGTTGTTTCGATCGTGCGGCCAACCCCGAGTCGATTATCCGATTTGAGCGAGAATTTGTCCTACGTAGATGGTCGTCCGAGTGATCCAAGTATCCAGCGTTTGGCGCCCCGGTATTGGATGGTGGCGGCTGTCGGGGTTCGGTGCCAGTGCCGTTGACTGCTGCTCGATTGTCTCGGGTGGGAGTTTCTGGAAACTCTCTGGAAGCCGTTGTTTGTGGGGTTTTTGGTGCGCAAATACTGGCTTGGCGACCGAATTAACACCCCCAGGGTTTCCCCAATCGTACTCGGCGCCAGCCAAAAGGTTTAGCGAATCATACAGCATCGCTTACAGCCTTGTTGGCGCACCCCGCCGTGCTTGCAATCGCATTTGCACAAAATCCGAGCGCCTGGATCAATCATCCTGGCGAGCCTGGGCAACCCCGGAGATAAGGGGATCCGAGCCCAGGTGGCACTCTCAATGGCTGAGATTCATCCACGACGGAACCCTTTTATCTTCGCTTTCGCATCAAAAGTTCCTAGCGGTAACGGATTGCAACGCTGAATAATTTGAGTCTTTTGCACAGCCCGATCCATCCGAGTCGACCTGTCAACCTCGCTCCAGTCAAAGATGGCATTATCGTCGCTTTTCATTTCCCTCTCCCTTTTTCTTTGTCAGATGCCTTCAAATCTTTTGTATTTGCGTCCCGGGGCATGCCAGTGTCAGTTCCACTAACTTAGTCTTTCGTTGAATCTCTCATTCCTATTCTGTCTCTCCGGATTGGTGATCTGTTCTCCAGCCATTTTGGTTCCGGAAGCGGATCGCGGGGCCTTTTGACTCACCGGAGTCACCAACGAAGCCATCTCCACACCAACTCCAACTCCAACCAGTCCGAGTCCCAGCGAACACCAAGACGACGAGTCGTTCACAGCCCACGAGCCACGCCTGACGGCCGGTTTGAGTCCTCTGGGCCTTGAATCACATACGCCATGTCAAAACACGAGCTTCCCGCCGGGTACCGCCCTAGCTACGAGGTGTGCACGGAACCATCCCCGTACTGCCCCGTCCAGGCCACCACTCTCGGCTACTTTCCCAACGAGGGTGTCAACATCTTCCTCGCCATCGGATATGCCCTGGCTGCATTGATCACTCTCTCCATTGGTGTGTGGAAACGGACATGGGGATTCTCACTCGCTGTGGGAGCAGGATGCATCCTTGAGTTTGCCGGTAGACTCCCACCCAAACCCCTTTTTCTTGATCGTTATCCGTTCTGACCGTTGCAGGCTACATCGGCCGCGTCCTCCTCGCTTCCAACCCCTGGAATGGGGGCGCCTTCAAGTTGCAAATCGTCGCCATTATTCTCGGCCCCACCCTCGTCTGCGTCGGATTGTATCTCACCCTGAAGCACGCTGTTGTCGCGCTCAACCGGTCCTTCAGCCGCGTCGCCCCGCGCGTGTACCCTCTGTTCTTCGTTCCCGCCGACATCTCCTGCCTGGTAATCCAAGCCATCGGCGGCGGCATTGCGGCATCCGCGGGCAGGGACAGCTACCAGCTTCTGCAGCATGGAAACCGCACCATCATGGCGGGTATTGTCCTGCAGGTGCTTGTTCTCGCTACCTTTGGTGCCGTGGCTGGCGACTACCTGTTTCGGGTCGGCCGGTACTTCAAGAGCGGGAATGTGGCGCCCGAGTACCAGGAAGGGGCCGCCCTGTGGGTGACCAAGAAGTTCCGCATGTTCGTGTGGGCTATCGCCGTCGCCTACGCCACGCTGCTGATCCGCTGCATCTACCGTATTGCCGAGATGGCCGGCGGCTGGGGCAACCACATCATGCAGGACGAGCCGTCTTTCATCGTGTTGGAATCCTTCATGGTGCTGATTGCGTGCCTGTTGCTGGCTGTGTTTGCGCCGGGCATTTTCTTCCCCCAGATGTCGCACTCCTTTGTCTCCGCCGGCGCTGTGCCCGAAGCTGAGAAGCAACCGCAGACCGAGAGCGACTCAGCCGGCTTCGAGATGGACCGGGTATAAGGCGGGACAACATGGGAGGCGGAGCATCGCGTGTTATTAGACGGTAGAATAGACCAAGCCAAGGCGTTTTTGGATACTCATTTTGGGTACCGATTAATCAATCATAAACCACCCGATACCGCGTCATCAAAATGCCCCACTTCAACGC